TCAGGTTTTGATACCACACTACACTTTATTATCACGTACCACGATCCGAGAAGGGGCAGAGGTATATAACAAATGTTTCTGATCTGTGCGCGCAACACACTGATCAGTGTTGGTACGACCTGGTGGTCGTGACGACGGCGAATACGGGATTCAAGTCACCTTCTCTTTGGAGGTAACTAAATCGGTGTATTCATTACTACACTTTATTATCACGTACCACGATCCGAGAAGGGGCAGAGGTATATAACAAATGTTTCTGATCTGTGCGCGCAACACACTGATCAGTGTTGGTACGACCTGGTGGTCGTGACGACGGCGAATACGGGATTCANAGTCACCTTCTCTTTGGAGGTAACTAAATCGGTGTATTCATTTGTTCGTGAAGAGTAAAGGTAGAGAGATGTGGTGCTCTACGAGCTTAAGTATGTGGGTGGCAAGCCACTCACATGACACCAAGCATGTAGAACCACCAAGCTCTCGTACGAGGTGCTAATCACCATAATTATATACCGACAAGTAATAACCAGGTACCTGCAAAGCGCAAACCACAAAAGTCATATATTTACCACTACTGTGCCTGTACCCCTGTATCGTCACCTTACTCGAGATCAGACGCGAGAACTCACTACCCTTGCTGCCTATGCCCTCACTGTCGCCGCATCCTCACTGTCGTATAGGGATTGTACCCTATTATGTTGTTTAGAAGGGAGAGAGAGAGAGAGAGAGGGAAAGAGGGGAAAGAGGGAAAAGCGGGACGTAGTTCAGTTGTGTCGCGTCGCTTATTTCCAGCCATAACACTCACTACCTTCCAAAAGCGGCTAATCGAGGCACGCTGTACGCCAACAATTGTTCACTACTTGCCCCTCCATTCTCCCCTCCTACGTTTCTCTTTTCTCTCCGATAGTCAGACTAAAATAGCGAGTATAGAAGAGCTTGAGTGAGGTGGGAGGTTGGGGGGATATTAAAGAGCCGGGCGGGAGGCACTACAGAGCTCGCTAGAGTAGAGTTATATATTTATTATGTGGGACATACATGAGGTCATTAGGGAATTAGGGGTACTTAGGGAAAATGGGCGAGAGAGGGTATAGAGACTTCAAGTCTAGAGGACTTGTACTATACGATATCGTTTGGATGCCGTAACGACTGGATTTGAAAGCCCCCGAAGCTTAACCTTCAGTAAGAGTAGATTTTGGAATATGTGTCTTTCTGCTCTTGCAATCTGGACTAATGCGCCCCGGAACGTGTTGTCGAATTATGTTTCTTCGGTTGTGGCTTGCCTGACTGTGTCCAACTGGTCCTTCGGAGTCCTTACAAGTCTTCAACGCAGCGAAAGGTGGAGGCATCTATCGATATCTGAGGCTCTAAGGGAGTTCCTGCTGTTTTTATGGAATACGTAAAAATCCTCTCCTCACTTCGTCTTTTGGTCTAGACGACGCAATTATATGCAAGGAACGACGCAATCAGCTTCAAGATGAATGTCAGGTTGGACCCAGTGGTAAAGTGAATCAATCTGACAAAGTGGAAGTCATTGGCTCCTTTGCCGCATTTGGCATGTAAGAACCTGAGGATGCTCAGAAGTAGTGGCAGCAGTTGGATATCTTCAAGAGTGCTTGTGGTACCATGTTAACATAGACTCGTGGAGACTAGAACAGAAGGAGAAACTTGTTATGCAGGAAGGCAACTGTATTATGAGAAATAACCTTTTAAAATTGAGCTTGAAATTTGGTTGGTGACATACCATATATCTACACCCGACCCTTTTCTTCATCCCTCCATAGGTCTAAATCCAACAATGAAAAATTAGTAATTATAATATCCTCTTTTATCCATAACAACCAGACTACCCGATTAAAAAAAAAGGTCACATGATACACCTTTTTGTTCGCGGGCAGCTGGACTCTGTTTATATTGACATGACAGTAGCGAATCAACTTTCCGGTCACCACATGGATGCACCTCAAAAGAGGAAAGACGGGGGTGTCTTAGCCAAAATGTCGACCGTTCTTGGTATAATAACCAAAAGTCTGAGAAATCACAATAATCCTGTCAAGGGAGACGATGCCGCTGAAAATCAACAAGTCAATATACGATCTTACGTATCCCAGGAATAATATCCGAGGCTGTAAAGAATAAAGTTTCTTCGTCGATGTATCCATGTATGCAAAACCAGAGTAAAAATTGATCTATTGTCAAAATCAGGATAGTTTTTATCGAAAGCCTTCTATAAAGCGTATCCTGCTCCCTATGGCTGCTCCAAATCTAGAAGCCAATCATGCATTTTCCCTAAGAAAAATATCGCGCACATCTAATCAACTTTTCCAATGTATGTTTTGCCAATCCCGCTACAAATCCCCATGGGCAAACAAGACAGACCAATAATATCCTTCACATGAACCATTATCTCGGTACTCTATTAGGCACAGAAAGTCCGCATGAACAAAACCTGTCAGACACGAGGATACTCCAATACCTTCAGAGCCCCTGGCAATCGCAGCAACTACTGTAAGTTTATGCCTCAATCCATGAAGCCACACGTGAAATGACTTTTCCAACCATCAGTTACTGTACCAGGGCACAGTGCAGCTTCGTTATCTTGGTGCTTTTGCATATCAACCCGCAGAAAAGTTGCAGCGGCAAGGGGGAGAGGGTATAGCAGCAATGAGGGGAATTATAGATACTTTGGTTACAGCCAATAGTATCAGACTTGGCGAAGTAGAAAGTAGATGATGAGTGGAATTGCAAGACACTCGAGAAAATATCGAACCTTCACCACAATAATGCATTCTACAGTATGCTGGAAAGTATGCTATATGTTCATGACTATCCTCTAAATATGAGTTTCTACGATGGTATTAATTCCAGGTCATTGCGAATGGTTCAACAATCCCTTGAGACGACATTACCAAGGCCAAATCTTGTTATTCATCACACTCAACAATGGCAATGAAACACACCACCCTCATTCGCGTCATCAACATGCGATGTTATCCTAGAATCTTTTTTCTTAGAACGAACTCGGGCACTATATGCGGCCGTGAGGACTCGACTCTCAACCTTGGTCGTAATCAGGCTTGGTCGCAGCACATTTATGGTTGTGGATGGCACAAGCCTCTCTAAACGAGGCAAGAGCTTGAAGTACCCCCGCTGCGGGTACACTCAGCTTGAGATAAACCATGAAGAGTCAAGCTACTCACTTACTCCGTGATCAGATTTAAGCGTCACTGGTTAAATTGATCTTGAGGGAGTCAGTGATTGGATATGTGAGGCGTGAAACTTCATCCCTTAGCAGCGATTGAGAGGACTTCTTTGGTCCGTCCAAGTCCCTCTTTCCCATAGTAATCCATCGGATAGATCCCCTCGTTAGCTTTTCCCCAATCTTCCTTCGCTCCTAGGACAATAAGAGCCTCATACGGAGTCAAAAGTGGTCGAGGAAAAGCATACCCCCAATCAATACTCAGCCGAGGACAGGCGACTTGTACCCAACATTCCACATCATCCATCATAGCCAGCTTTCCAGGAAAGATTTCGCTCAGGAGCAGGTTTATATACGGAATCTCCTGTGCCTCAAGCTTCTTCTCTATCAAACCCATTGTGTGCGGGTTTCCTTGCCGGCCCAAAGATCCTAAAATCAGGCCCCATTTTCTTGCCTTTTTTGCAGAAGAAATTGCATCTCTTCTCAGAGTATGCATTTCCTTATGATCGTACATTTCTCTTGTAAGTTTTCGGGAATATGGATCGTATCGATAAGCAGGAATTGAGGGGTTGTGAATCATTGCGCTTTCCAAGTGGAATCTCCCATCCCCGAGATACAAAATCATATCCACGCCATCAGTTGACAAACGAGGGGAAGTGCATCCCAATATCTCCCCTTTACTTAGAGGTGTGATTTGAGGAACCAAGACATTGTATCCTGCCCTTTCCAGGGGCCCACGAATACCATGGACAGTGGCGTTGAATTGAATTGTTCCAACCATCGCAATTGTTTTCCCAGAGGTGAAATTTCTCTCCAACGTCGCCAAAAGATGACTTGTGTCAATACTGATGTCCACGAAAACATAGAGCGTTTTTATTTTTGTGACATCTACCGGTATAAGACATGAATGAGCGTAGTGCACGAGGAGATCACACCCAAGAGCCCTTGCAGTGTAATCGTCTATACAGCATGCTCCGTACGTGACATCGCCCATTATCAGGGTCTCGATCCCCGGGCAAAATTGGGTAAGGATGTCGGAGATAGTCGTCGCAAACAAAAGAAGACCTTCCGGCATTTGTAGTGCCACTTTTTTGGAGCCATTTGTTCGTATCCGGTGGACCGTCTTGTGTATTTCGAAAGAGTAATTCGAAGGGAGGAGGGCTATGGCAGCATTGAGCTCGGGATCGTTCAGGATCTCTGGCGGGACCTGGTTTAGTGTTCTGGGATTTCGTCTTGGAGTTGAAACTATTGATATATTAGAAGACACAGAGGAAAGAAATGTCATGAATAGAAAAGCAACCTTGGATAGCGCCACTGTCCTCCACATTTGCGGACCCATTTTTGGAGGCAGCCTCTGCAGCTTGTCGCCTGCCAACGAAGCGTTTCTTGGGCTGTCTTTTGGCCGCAGATTCCTCGAGCTTCTCTTCGATATCAACAGCGACTCCAAGGTCAACCTGTGCGCGATCTTCCTCCATCTTGTGAGGGGTTTTTTGGAGTTTTGTGGCTAGCAAAAACCGTAGGAACGCTAAGAAAATACTACCCCGCCCCCGCTACTATGCGCACACCGACCGTGTCACTAGAGTCGGGTTTTCTTGAAGAGCAAACCAGACAACGAAATACTTGACGATATTATACGTTTGCATATGATACAACATTGAGTGAGTGGCCTCTCAAACGTGACCCAAATCATGCACTTAGTTACGTATGATATATCCTAGCCAAATCAAACCACTGGGAGCTGCTAGCTAGCGGTGAATAATTTCCGCCTGACAAAGTCTCCAGATGATTGTGAATGTTTCCTCCAGAATCAGTGAATCACCAGGCCTTGAAGGAGACTTAGAGGACATGGCAAGTAGAATGTTATTAACTCTCTTCAGCTTCCTCTCATGTAAGTAATCTCTTTCTTCTCAGATTATTCTATACATAGCACTTCACCAATAAAACCTTGGAACCTTGCAACCTTCCGCTTCTACTGCCACTGGAAATTACCGCTTCGACTACCTACTTCGTTGATCGCGATACCTACCCGAGATACCTAACTACCAGGATGGGATACACTGCGGTTTACGACGAGGAGACTGATCGCATCCGAGTCATGGATGGCAACACAGTCTTGAAGGAGGGCCATGCCATGGAGGTTCCTCAATTCAAATACTGGGCCAGAGACTATCCCAACGATAAGCAACCAATCGATCCTAAAATGTTAAGACGGCATAGCTTGGATCTTAAGCCTGACACAATGGCAGAGCTTATCATCATGCGATTTTACAAGGAGGTCAATGACGTTGTTACTACTGAGAGCAGCCTCTGCCCATCGTACCTCATCTATAAAAGCGTAAGCATGGAAGAGCTTCACGTCATGGTTCAAGAGGATCGGATGAAGTGGCTGCAGACTGAACAGTGTGAGGTGGTCACGGATTTATGCAGGAAGCTCAACGAGAGCAAAAGGTCCAAATCACCAAAGTGGTTTTGGTGGGATCTGGATCCTTCCATGAGCAGCTTGAAGACCCATGTTGGTGTCAACAATCCAGATTACAATTAGCAGCAGCCCTCAAGATCAGTGAGGTTCTAGGAGAGCCAGAAGATCCTTTACCTATCTTTGCCCAGGAACTCCGTTACTCCACAATCGAAAAGGAGTACTTGCGCAAAAACCTTCGTGTAACCGTCATAGATGATCCAGACGCCTTTGCACTCATCGATAAACACACGATGCTCATATTTTGCTGTCTTGGTCCCGAATTCGCGTATGAAGTCAGCAAAGGACCGTTCCCAGGTGCTATGATTACAGGCCATCCAACCAACGACGGTGCCTCCGACGCTCTCGACTTCTCCTCGGATATAATCATCCCGGCGGTGGAAATGTTCCGGCATTACAACAAGCGTGAGATCTGTCTGGGCCATTTTGGCTTGCCATTTGGCGAATATCCACGACGGAATGAAGCATTTGACGATCACCAATGCTTATGGATCAGAAAGGATGATTTGGAGGAGTTGAGACCCACGGGTCTGATTCCCCCTGTCCGTTATCGTATAATTCGGAAAGATGAAAACGGCATTGAGTACACTCAACTTCAATGCCGAGTGATTAAAGAGACCGACGGCTGGGATGTGATGCCAATTCTACAGGATGAGCAGGGCCCCAGAGATTCGAAGGATGGCGAAGCGGATGACGAATCGACTACCCATCCAAACCAAGGTTGATGATCTTCAGATTCAATGGCGCACAAAGACTCACTTCAGGCTCTAAGCTAAGGGCCCGTGGCTAGATCCATCTATATCTGAGAAATCTGGCCAGATTAGCAAATCCATCATTTCCTCAACCAAAACAATTAGAAATATGTAGTACCCAACAAGAGTATAAGCGTAGCCCTTAAATGCCCATTATAGATTCGGTTAGCACTAGCTTAAACAACGAACAATAAAACCAGCCATGTGTATCACTTGATGCAAATGTACACAAGTCCTGTAAACTCACATCCCTGAGATATGGGAGGCAAATGGGCATTGATTCCTCGGTAAAGGAAAGACAGATCAACAGTCATATAAACAAAAAATACATTTGCGTTTCAACACACCTTCTCTGCCAGGAACTGACCTAAAATTAGGTGCCTCCGAGCGGCGAATATAGAACATGATACTTCCAGAGAAAACCAGGGAAGACGTGCTCGGAGAGCTATGATAGTTGGTGGGTCCTTCTGCGCTGCAAGCGTCCTTTGTCTGAACTGTCGCTTGCAGCTACCAAGCACTCGTATCTCCTGAACAAAGACAGGGATTGAGAATGCGGAGAAGCCGGAGATTTGCCGTCCATTCTACTTACCCCCACCCCCCCCAATCGTGCAGTACATATTGTGACCCAAGGCTTCTTTCTCTAGAGACAACCCATTCAACCAAGCCAACATGAAGATCTCCAACTCAGCTGTCTCTGGCCGGCCTGCGCCCTCTTACGAAGAATTTGTCGACCTCGAGTTCGACCGCTTCCTTCGCGATCCTAATTCTCCGAGCTTCTCCCTCGGCTGCAACACAACGGCTTTGAAGGTCAAAATGATGGAGTTCCTGTCATGGGATAGTTGGGCACCTAATGCCTCAAAACTGGCGCACGAAGTCGAGCAATACAAGTGGCTAAGCACGGCAACATTCCATCGCTTCGGCGAACTGCCCCCGGAACTTCGCAATCAAATATGGGAGTATGCAATTGCACCCCACCGAGAGGCCAAGGTTCACTGCCTCCGTGAGCGAAATAGAAGATGGATTTCGAACCAGCCTACGAGTCACTTTCTCCACGCGTGCCATGAATCTCGCGACATCTGCTTGCAGAAATCTGTGGTAGCTGCGTTTCAAACGTACTTTAATCCTGACATCGACATTGCCTATATACCCGACCTTGTAGAAGAGAATTTGAAAGATGACGTTATGCGGATTACGGAGACAGCATCCGATGCAGAGGAGCCTGCTGGCGCAGAAGGTGATGAGATGCGGGATATAGTCGAAGGGGTCGACGAGACCGAGGTACAGGGGGAAGACATTGACATGAACGACAGATCTGAACACAATTCCAACGAAGACTTCTCTGTCGCAAATGAACCCTTTTCCTTTGCGAGATTGATTTACAGCAAGTGTGCAAAGCATGTTCAGATCCTAGCCACGAGAAAAGACCTCTTCTGTCAGATACCGTTGGAAGGACACATGTCCGAGACCCACTACGAGATGCGACAGGCAATGCCAAATTTGAACCAGACAGTGGTTGTATTTGTAGATGGCACAACGCTCGACCAGGCCTTCCGGAACATTGATTACTGTTTTCGGGACCTGTCTGTCAAAGAGAAAAAGTGCCGAGCCGAAAGAAGTTATGCGCGAGCGTTTGCGAGAAATATCAACAGAATGGTTTCCACCTGGGGTGAAGAGCCAAGGAAGTATCGGTGGGTTGTGCCAAATCGGCAAATTGAAACGGAAAAGAGGTTGTTGCGCAAGTTTGGATCCCCAGCTGGCCGATGAGACTTGATCACTTGTAACTGAAAGATAACCGCTCTTCAGTTTCGACCCAGTGACTAGGCTTAGACAAATCTCTCAGGTTGATGCTTGGTAACTATTCGATCCTGAGGATTTGATATCCTTTGACCATACATATTAATACAGTTTCCTTTCTCAGAAGACGTCGCATAGTCTCGAATTTGGGCAGGATGTGTGCTCTTTACGCCTATAAGTTTGCATAGTCATTCAACCGGCGGACTAACTTGACCTACTTGCCAGAAGAACAACCAAAGATGAACTAATAAAAAATCGGCTTCTTATTTTATCACTGGACGCCCGACTTCAGCTCGACAAACTTTAGACGGCAATATACTATGCCTTAGGGGAATCCCGCTCGGAGATAGTCGACCTCCTCAAGCGTGCACTGTTATGTATACTTTTCCTTCCATCCCTCAATAGGGTGTGGATTTCCTACATGGCGTCCTGGACTTCTGGATCTTGTCGAAAACATCCCATCGTCTGCCATCTACCCATCCACCCAGACCTAATTTGCCAGTCCACGGCGCCATAAGGATGTTGCGTTATTTCCCTTGAAAAGCTATTTTCGCCGCTAGGTGCGCTATAGTAATACAGAATGACTGAAGACGGCATTAGGGGCTTGTGGCCCTATTGCTAGTTGAAGTTCAAACAAACCGACTTTTCTAGATAATTTTGATCCAGCATTTTTATACAGAGGGGGAACATGCTTGTTATCTATGTTTGGAGCGTCGAAACTGTAAAGTTTACTGGAAGTGGCTGTAGTCCGCAAAAATAAGCCAATAATTTCTTCAAGATATCCATATGCATTATGCGATCATAATAATTATATCTCGCCAGGGACGTAAGCTCCCCGTGCCTTGAGAAGGGGTGAGGGAAAAGGATGTGGGAAAACTGGCTATGCTCTGGAGCGTCGAGGTTGTCTGTATGTCATTTACTGTACCTACCCATGATTGCTTGTATTTATTTACGACCAATTTTGATGAGATGCATTAGTAAGGCCAGTGAGCTTGTTGTGAGTTCCAACTCATGTGCTTGTTGGGGCAGTAAAGAAAAGGCGGTGGATCAAAATTTACCCGACGAGTGCCGCGCCGTTGTGACAACAATGAAAAGACGGTTTTGACAACACCTCCATACATACTTAAGCTTTTACTCTATTGGGACTTCCATCGCTCCATTCAAGCCATAGAGTCATTCTTCATACCACCGAAAAGCCATCATACATCATGACCGGCACTATCATCTTGACAGGCGCAAACAGCTCCCTTGCTATCCCGGCTGTGGAGCACCTTCTCACTACTCACCGTGATTACACACTCGTTCTCACAGTTCGGAATACATCCGAGTCGGATGCCAATACGCAGATATTGCGTGAGATCGTCTCTAAGCATCCTCAAGCTGAAACAAATAACGTAGTCTCCATTCGTCAGCTTGATCTCTCTCGCCTTGATGGTAAGTAAAGATACCAATATTTTGGTCCTCAATCGAGCACTATTCAAGTTTTGAGAAGCCGTTGAATTTTGGAGCAATGAAAGAAGATTTCTGATCGCCTTATTCTAGATGTACACAGCTTCGCAACTACAATAATCTCAGAGATTGCGGATGGCAAACTCCCTCGTCTTACCAGTATCATCTGCAATGCTTATTCATGGAACTTGGTTCGTGAATTAGAAACCACTGCCGATGGCTACGAAAAGACGTTTGCAATTAACCACGTCTCCCATTCCGCACTGGTACTTCGTCTCCTGGGTTCTTTCAATGAAGAAGGAAGAGTGGTCCTTTTTACCAGTGACGCGCACTGGCATGGCAAGAATTCTCTTGCCAAGTTGCCTCCGACTCTTCCTGATGCCCTCGATTTACTCGTCAAGCCGGAACCAGATCCAGCTACTGATTATTTGGCGTATGGCATGAGGAGATATGCATACTCCAAGTTATGCATACTTATGTGGATGTATGCGCTGAATCGATACTTGGAGAAGGTAGGTTCCCCATTTCCATTTTAAAACAAGGCTCTCTCCCGAGCAAATGATCTAATAATAATCAAGGATCCAAAATTCAGCAAAATCACAGTTGTTACCATCAACCCAGGTAACCTAACCGATTCACGCGCTCTCACCGTCGATACCCCTTCATCAATCTATTACATGTCAAAACTCATCGTCCACCCATTCCGTCCACTCTTGCGTTTCGTGGATCCTACCATGCGTACTGCAGCTGAGGCAGGTGTTGACGTTATCGAGCTTGCCACGAATAACGCGCATCCTGGAAAACGGGGGTTTTTTACGCTGCTTAAGCCAGATGTGAGTTCTCCTGAGAGTCTGGAGGTGGAGAAGCAGCAGGAGGTGTGGTCGAAGACTCTTGAATGGGCTAAGATTACGAGGGAGAATACTGCGCTGGAGGTAGCTTTTAAATGAATGATGGGATTGTGAAGATTTGGGCGGGCGAAGAGGCGTTTGTGTGAGACTACTGCAGGATTAGTCGAGGTACTAGGCCATGTGAAATTTTTGTATTCTGGTTATGGAAGTTGTATTTCTTTTATCGGTAATTAACTGAGATACCCCTTAGTTTATTATAAATACCTAAGATGCCCCTTAATAAATAGGCGTGTGACTAAGATACCCCTTAATATATACCCCTTAATTTTAGGGGTATCTCGGTCGCTAAACAGGGGCATCTTAGTCACTTTTAGTTAGTTTAGGTATTATTATTCTCGCTGTTTATTAGATTTATAGGGTAGTATAGGCAAGACTTAATAAACAAATTAAATTGATAATTTAGTACTACCTACTTACGACTTCGCAAACTCCTTCTTGTAGACTTTAGTAGCGGCTAACTCTAATCCTTTTTACTCCTTCGCCTTTTACTCCTTCGCCTTTTACTCCTTCGCTTTTTACTCCTTCGCTTTTTATTCGTAATTCTACTCGAATTAGCCTTAATTGCTTGTTCTTGTTCCTAAGTAATATCCTCCTAAGTAATATCCTCCTAAGTAATATCCTCCTAAGTAATATCCTCCTAAGCAACATCCTCCTGAGTAACGTTCGGCAAATGGAACAGGTTCCATAGAATTCTAGCGATTCTATTCCATATAGAATAATTCTAGAGTACCTTTAAAAAGGAATAGAATATTCTATTAAAAAGGCTCTAGAATTCTATAGCAAATAGAATTCTAGAGTACGTACTAACTAATTAGAGAGTAGAATTTAAGAGAAGTAAATATTAATTAACTAACTTATAGACCTTTACTTAATTATCCTTAATCTACTATATCCTTAATCTACTATAGTTATATTAATCTCTTCCCTACTTAATTCCTTTAAGAACTCTTTAGGAATAATACCCTAGTCTTAAAGGTATATAACCTACCTAACCTTCTTGCTACTAAGATTTAATCTATCCTTAATAATAATGCGGCCTCTATTAGAGAAAACACGCTTAGATAATACTAATATAGTAAGAATCGTAAGATAATCTCTAGCTATTTAGAATAGAATAGAATAATCGTATTACTTTCCGAGCTAATTTGTCACGAATCACGTGCTAGCAGGTGACGAGTGAAGACCAGGCGGCGTCCTGACAGGTTAAACATTATCATGGACTCTTATAGCGAATAGGGACGCTTAGACTAGCTAAGCGATTCAGGGATTTCTCTTGGTTAGTTATCACGTGATGGAAACGAGCGACATGGCCGACGAGTCGACCATGTCGGCCATGGTCGAACAGTCGACCATGGCGACCACAGAGAACGAAGGCTCTATATAAGACTGGCACGTCTGCCATTAGATAGGAGCTTCGTGCTCAACTTAGTTATCAATCTTATCATATTAGTTTGACAT